TTTATCTGTGTATAGCTGTTAGTATTCCAACGCCAACTGTTTATCTGTGTATAGCTGTTGGTATTCCAACGCCAACCGTTTATCTGTGTATAGCTGTTGGGATTCCAACGCCAACCGTTTATCTGTGTATAGCTGTTGGGATTCCAACGCCAACCGTTTATCTGTGTATAGCTGTTGGGACGTAATAGTATCTGGCAGAATGACTTGGAGAATTACAGCAGATGGAGATGCCATTGAGGTATGCTCCACAATACTAACCACATACGATGTTTTAGTTGGAGATTCAGGATGTCGCTTTTTGTCGACTGGCTCTACCTTCCTTTCAAACTTTTCCTCAGCAACACAGCCTATGTTTCGTCTGACCAACAGCACTAAAAGGGAATGGTAACGCGTATTTTGCATAGTTTGACCTGTGTCATGATTTTACTCGTTGACTTAAACTTGCTACGTTATTTTTCCAATATATACCTCAAAAGTCAATAATAAAATAAAACACGGTAAATAATCATCCATACGTGTAAACAAATATTAAATAGTTGTCCTTGCTACGTGAGATTCAACTATCGTTCGCATTTAGAAACGCACAACTACAAGTAGCCTACCGTTTAACGGCACCTCATAAAAACATGGATAAATGGTAGAGGTAGGTAACATGAAAACTTTTGTACCGCGGTTTTTTTAACGTACCACAATATGTCATGGTATAATAATAATAATAATAATAATAATAATAATAATAATAATAATAATAATAATAATAATAATAATAATAATAATAATAATAATAAAAATAATAATAATAATATGTAATTTATACAACGCCTAATCTTAAGATGCTCTAAGCGCTTTACAGTATTAAATAAAATGTAGAAACATATTACAAGATTACAAACACATGCTGACAATAATTAAGAAAGTAAACATTATTAGGCCTGTATGTTCTTATAGTCGAAATAGGTGAGATTTAAGAGCACTCTTAAATCAAATCACCGTGTTCTTGTGCATAAGCTCTGTGATAGTGGGTACTAAGACGAAAGATATACAAGTGAATTATAATATCACAGCCCTGAGAGTACAAAGGAACATAATAGTGTTTCGTTGGCATCAAGCAAAAGCAATTGCTAACGGCGCTGATGTTTCTCAGCTCCATATTATGCAGTCCTGCATATATATATTCATTACATGTTGGTTTAATGTGAATGTACTGTTGAAAATGACACCTATTTTTCATACTGTTTAAAATTTATATAGGTATAGCTGATAGTTATTGCTTGAGTTAAAGGATGTGAATCAGGGTGGCTTCAGTTTTTTCGTCATAAATCTGCAGCTGGTCAAACGTCATCCGCGATTTCCTATCGGAAATGCACCTCTCTACGTCTTAGATGGTGTCCTCAACTTCACTTGGGTTGCATGAATTGTGTAAGTGAGTTTCATCAGCCTTCACTTGTTCAGACATTGGATACTGATCTATCACACTTGAGAGAGGCTGACTGTGTAGAATAAAGAGAATGGGACCGAAAACAGAACTTTGTAGAACACAAAAGCAGAGATAAACTGAACTGGATTGGTTTCTATTTTCGGACATGATTTGTGTCAAGTTGACTAAGTTGGGTTTGAACCATACTAAGCTTTATCATGAATATCAAATACATGCTGGAGACGGTGAAGTAATATATCATGGTATATTGTATCAAATGCTGGAGACGGTGAAGTAATATATCATGGTATATTGTATCAAATGCTGGAGACGGTGAAGTAATATATCATGGTATATTGTATCAAATGCTGGAGACGGTGAAGTAATATATCATGGTATATTGTATCAAATGCTGGAGACGGTGAAGTAATATATCATGGTATATTGTATCAAATGCTGGAGACGGTGAAGTAATATATCATGGTATTATTGTATCAAATGCTGGAGACGGTGAAGTAATATATCATGGTATATTGTATCAAATGCTGGAGACGGTAAATAGTAATATATCATGGTATATTGTATCAAATGCTGGAGACGGTTAAGTAATATATCATGGTATACTGTATCAAATGCTGGAGACGGTGAAGTAATATATCATGGTATATTGTATCAAATGCTGCAAACAAATCTAGGAAGGTGATGACAGTAGTCTTTCCACTATTCCAAGCAAAGAGATGGTCGTTAACTACTCTCAGAAGGGCGGTTTCAGTACTATGGCGAAGGCGATATGCAAGCTACCCATTGCTTAAAAGACGTTTGAGTGCGGATGGAAACGAGTTGGGAAAAATCAACTTTTTTAAACTTTTTAAGTGAACGAGGAACAGGCTGTAACGCTTAAAGTCATTAGGATCAAATATCATGTTTCATCAACAAAAGGCTTTTTCAGTGGCAGTTTTGAAAAATGATAAGAAATCCCCTGATGAGAGGGAAGCATAATTAACATCGGTTAATAAAGAGAATATTGAACTTGGACTCACACAGCAGAGATGTCAGAATCCGATCGAGTTCACATGACATTGGGGCACTATTTATCACAATCGTGTGTACCAAACAGAATACTGCTAAAGTCTGTTTTATACCACAACTGTTTGGTGACGATTGAAACTGTTTAGTCAAGTTTATTTTCTATAAACAGAACTTTGGCACGGAAGAAATTTGTGAACAGGTCCGAAATGTCGACCTGATGAATGTCCGTTGGTTGTGGTGTACATCTATTCTTTAATATTCGCTTAATCGTGATGTTCTTATTCAGAGATAAAAAAAATATTTAAATTCGAAGGAAAAATATGACACCATCCGGAGAATTAAGTGACCAGTACTAATAAATAAGTTTGATATATGTGTGATAAGCCGGAATATACGTGGCGTCTAAATAAAAGTCTGACTAAAATTGATCTTAAAGATCTTGAATAATTTGGCCAGATGGGACTACGGTCAAAATTACTACATTCGGTTTAATACCCACAAATGTAGTGCAGGCTATCTTTGGATCGTTTTTCCTCTCTCATTTCAGTTGTATTAGATTTAGGCACATTTGATGTGATGGAAAGATAATTTGTTTATTATTTGGAATATCATTATTAGGGTATGGTTGTCTGTGTGTTAACAAGGCCTAGATCTACCTAAAAAAAAGTCGAATAAAAGTGCTATGAAATTATCTGGCTACCTTGATCAATAGGATATTACTGTGTCAGTCAGGAAGGGCTACAGGTGTTTAGTACATGGATGGTTACAACAGGCAGGCGGAAATACAGCTAACATAAATTATATCATGCAATATTATCATCAAGCTACACAAAGAAAAACCTAATTACAATCAATTTTTACTTCTGCTTATGTATTTATGATGCATTACGCTTAATAGGTGATGTTACCACGTGTTTAAATGATGGCAGGCAACAAAAGCAGTTATTGTGCAGAGCAGCACGTATAAATTAAATTCGTTATAATTTGCCTTTTTCCATCCAACTTTAATAGTTTACGATTTCTTTATTGTTAGATGAAACCCTCTAAACAAAGAAATAACTATCATTGTAAAGAAACTGGTGTGCTAATGTGTAGGTGTTATTAGATCATGTTTTGGGGTTCGTAAACTCCGCATCTTGTCTGATACTTTATTCCGCTCTCACATAGTTTCACTTTAAACAGGCATATGTATTCTACCGAAATAAAATTATATTTTACGTCCAAACTTACGTATGAAATTTACCAGCAGATTGGACATATCAAATATACTTTTGACTACAGACGTTCAAAGTGGAATACGTCTTAATGTTCCTGCAATGTTTTCACCTTTAATTAAGAAGAATTATGTTGTCAATATATTTTTTTATAAATATTTGTCCACCCACTATGTGATAACGACATATCAACTGGTTTAGGGTAAATGTGGGTGTGGATCAGTCAACTATTCGATGTGGAAAGATTCGAAAATTTACATCAAATCTACTTCAGTATTTTATTGGCTGTTTCAAACATAAAGAAATAACAATAAATGTGCTTGTACAGTGGCATACAATTTAATATAGAAACTACTTTTTACCATTGGATTAGCAGGACCTAGAGTAACAAAAGTGACTTTTATCGTTTCAGTAGTACACAATTTAAGCAATAAACTATTTTCTTAAAATTACAGCAGAACTAATTCTTACCACTACAGTTACATTTTAGTGAAGAAACCGACCTTGACCGTTACAATAGCAACATTTTAACAAAGAAATTTTTAGAGGTGAAGTAGCACACAACTTAGTGAAGACACTAATGTTGATGTTTGCCATTGCTTATCACAAAATGTGGTGAAGAAACGCATGTTTGCTGTTACTGCAGAACACAATTTTGTAAAAAAAAAATATAACCCCTAAATATAACCCCTAAATTTTACTCTTGCAGTAGCTCCCACTTCGGCAGAAAAAAATCTTTACCTTTGAAGGAGCACAAAATGTAGTGAAGAAACGGACTTTCACCGTTGCAGTAGCATATATTTTAATGAAAAAATTGGCATTTATTGTTAAAGAAGTACAAACATAAATGTGTAAACTGACTTTTATTGTTGCGTATCACACAATTTAGTGAAAATGCCGAGTTTTACTGTTGCAGAGGCACACGATTTAATAAAGAAAGTAAATATTACTTTTGCATTAAAACATAATTTGGAAGATGGGTTATGTCTGGGCAGGTATGAAAACATGCGTGAATGTGATATTTTGGAAAGGTTAAAGCTTACAGGACACGGGATTTCTAAAACAGTCCATTTTGATGGAAAGCTGTCGTCGGCAGCCATTGTTTGCGATGTTTGATTTTTTTTTTCAAAAAGTGTCAAAAAGTACAAAAAGGTAAAAAGCTACAACACATACAGACATATATTTATAGGGATGACTCTCCCAAAGTTACGGAAATTTATAGAATTATTCTGAGCGTATATGTGACGATGAACTTCATCACACCCGTTTCTTAAAACCTAAGATGAACGCGGTAGGAATCTAACTTCGAATGATCTGATTTATAACAAAGTAACGCTCCGGTGGCCTAGTGGTTAAAGCGTCCGCCTCTGATGCGGTAGATCGTGGGTTCTATCCCCAGTAATGTCATACAAAAGACTTACAAAAATGGTACTAGCAGCTGCCTCGCTTGGTGCTCAGCATTGAGAGGTTAGTGTTAGGACTGGTCAGCCTGGTGTCAGGATAATGTGACTAGTTGGGACATCATGCTACATGTCTGCGGCATGATGCCCCAGTAATAGACATCACTATAAACTGGCACACTGATGACATCGTAGGGATATGACTGAAAACTTGTTAAAGCTACGTTAAAAAAATCACAATCACACATAGCAAAGTAACGCCATATTTTATCCATGATAGTACTGGAAGAAAACAAAACGTTGTCTTGAGATAAAATATAGAAAATATCTCAACTCGAAAGAAAATTACGGAACCCCCTCCAAAAAATTATACAGCCGGTATCTTGTAGTGGGTAAATTTGCTATGTGTGATAATTGTTTTACAAGTTGCATTTTAAGAGCTCTAACTAAATTTGATTGACTAAGATAACACTATACGCTATGTTGTGAAATGAGTCATGCAGATTTTAGAGAACATACTGATAATAATATTAAAAAGTGTTGATACCGAAGCTTACAATTTTCTAGTTGCACTATTGATATTCATGTAATGGGTAGGAACCTGAGTACGGTGCCAACGCCTGGACAAGATATGTATCAGAAAAGACCAGTAAATATAAGACATATTTACTCAACAAACGAGAAAATATTTAATGGACTTGAGAAATTACGTAAAGTTCAGACAGAAAACATGTGCGATCCTAATATGTTAGAATGATTCTGTCTTACACAGGAATACATATATATTAAACACATGCAGATACGCTAGTACATAGCTAAAACATGTCATGTGTGTGATTTCTTCCCCCGAGAATGATTCACAACATTCCATTTCGAAACTGCTTTGTGATACGTGACACGTGTCAGTCATGTAATTAAAGAATAAGAAATGTAGCTAAATTTTTTAGTATTAATTTTTTTACATTTACGACCGTTTTGTAAAACTGTTTTCTTATGAATAACGAAAACACACAGGTAATATCATTAAAGTTGTAACAACATTCCTCTGGAAGCAATATCGATGTAAACCGCGCACCTTTAATGCTAATTAAAAGTAGAGTTCTCAAAAGAATTAAAATGAAAATTTGCACACAAAAGAAATTAAGGAGATAAACCATTGCAAACAAACATAGACATGAAGTACAACAAGATAAATAAACGGTAATTAAATTAACTTCTTTAAAGTGCGTATAAAATTAAAGATAACGTTAAAACGTAAAATCCTGAAAAACGTAGGTACATCCTCGACAATGAAAGATATATTGTGCTACTTACAAGGTCAAAATAAAAAAACAAAGTCCTTTAATTACGACTAAAGATCACCAAAAGTTATCAACGTCTGTTGCGAAAACCTTAATAACACATTATTGTAGCTCGACCGATAGGTACAACTAAGATGATAACTGATGGGTAAAACTAAGATGATGACTGATAGATACAACTAAGGTGATCACTGATGGGTACAACTAAGGTGATCACTGATGGGTACAACTAAGATGATAACTGATGGGTAAAACTAAGATGATGACTGATGGATACAACTAAGGTGATCACTGATGGGTACAACTAAGGTGATCACTGATGGGTACAACTAAGGTGATGACTGATGGGTACGACTAAGGTGATGAATGATGGGTACGACTAAGATCATGACTGATGGGTACGACTAAGATGAAGACTGATGAGTACAACTAAGGTGATGACTGATGGGTACGACTAAGGTGATGAATGATGGGTACGACTAAGATCATGACTGATGGGTACGACTAAGATGAAGACTGATGAGTACAACTAAGGTGATGACTGATTGGTACAACCAAGGTGATGACTGATGGGTACAACTAAGATGACGACTGATGGGTACAACTAAGGTGATGACTGATGGGTACAACTAACATGATTGATGGGTATAGCTAAGGTGATGATTGACATCGAGAGGGTGAACCGTTACGATACGGATCGTACCAAAGCACAATCTTACATTGGAACACATCCGGTATGCCGGTAGCCACCTAGCTATCGAACAAGGGAAGTAATTTAGAAGCTTTTCTTCCCTCAGTCTGTATTTCGTTGATCAGGGTCTAATGCCATATTTCAGCACATAACAGATTATAACTAGCGGCCAGTATAGCAAAGGAAAAATTGACAATGAAATAATTAAATACATATGGGGTTTTAAAATACATTATATTCAAATGGATACACTTTATAAGGCCAAAAATAGGGGTGGGCTAAATGTAACCAATCCAATTTAAAGAAAATATGTTAACATTTTAAACCATTTTAAGGCTATTAAATCAATACCTAATATGCCCCTGGGGGCTATATATATATATATATATATATATATATATATATATATATATATATATATATATATATATATATATATATATATATATTGGCTTGACCTGTTAATGAAAACTAGACAAGATATACATAGAAATAATATGTACAGTAGAGGTTATTAGAAGTGCCAAGGAAATTAAAATACATAAAAATGTAATGATAAAATACAGAGAGGGGGATATGTGGAAAGTAAATGCAAAAGATACACATAAAAGAACTAAGGGATATAGTTACAAGAAATATTAGGTGTCAAATAGAATTATAAGTCTGGGGGTTAACTGGAATATAATCTGAAATAAATGGGAAACAATAAATTCTTTAAAAATATAAAGTAATAATTTTAAGTATTTGCATGGTACATGGTTAACTGGAGCGATTGCTTTAAAAAGACATATGATTAGATTAATTCCAAAATGTCTACTATGTAAAAAAAATATAATTTTACTAAGAAACATGTAACAACTCAATGTGAAAAAAATAAGAGTAGAAAGATATGCTGTATTTGAATTAATTATGAAAACAGAAAAATACAGAAAGAATATGCTTTTATATCTAGATGGAAAATTTTAAAAAGATGTATACATGAAACTAATTAAATATATAATTTTTTGTAATGAAAAAATGTGGACACTTAATATATATTAGAAAATAAAATTTACCTGACAAAATGTATTAATAATATTTAACATATTTTTCTCTATATTTTATAGATATAAATCTGCACATGGAAGAAGTAAGAGTCAGGGACATCATAGGGCTATATCACATGGCATTATGCAAAGTGGGCAGGCCTGCGGAAGAGCTTCCGAAAACCCCATGTGTAACTTTTCTTTTACCTTTTTCTGGTCCTTTTTATTCTACTGATAAGAATTATAACGAAAATCGCTTAAAGAATGCAGGGAGTAACAAAATAAATAAGTGAAATGTATACACCCTGCATTTAGGCAAAATAAATTACTATATACATATACATATAAAAAGTATAGCAGTTGGAGAAAGAATCTAGATAAAGCCCGATAAAAACCACCGACCCATGGAAAGTTACAGGCATACTGTCAACATACCCACTTTGGCCGACCCCGAGACTCGAACCCAAGCAGAGAGATAGAGAAGACAGTAATCAGTAATGGCGACTGCTTTGGACAATTCAGCCACCAGGGGCTCTGTCTTCTTTTCTAAGCAGGGTAATTGTTTTCACGGGATGTCTGGATGTGAAAGACCTGATTAACATCCTTTTGATTTAGAAGCAAATATGTTAATTAAAGCTTGATTAAAAGACCCCACATCCCTATGACATTCCAATTAGAATAAATTATGACAAGATTTTCAAGATGGCCAGTAATAGTTATTTTGTAGGTAAGATTTATGCAATTTTCAGTTTGGAACAACTATTTATATCAAGAAGTCTATTCATCGCAATCCTATATTGAAACTGTCATTGTCTACAAGAAGAAGCCATTACAAGATGATGAGATGGCCACCACGACAGCTAAACTGTGTATTCTGTCAGCATGATTTTCATTTAGGACCAACCAGATATGATACAAAATAACTTGGTGAGAGTCTATACAGTAATAAGCATACCCGAAAAGGAGAGATAGTATTACAAGATAGGTATCATTGGTGGAAATAGGATTGGCACAATTTTCATTTAGTACAGTGTGTCAAGTAGGCATTATAAATCCATTTTAGTCAAAAATCCACGAAGAGGAATAGTGGTTTTACAACTGTACGAGGGGCAACATTTTTATTTAAAACCACCTAGATATCATAAGAGTTATTTTACTGAAAACTCCATGTCAATAGTTCCCACTGTTCCAATGGAAATCTGTTAACTTCTGGTCACCGTATGAAATATCAGATATCATTTTGATGTAGAATGAACTAGATATCATAAGAAATACATGCCGATACAATCGTTCAGTCAGAACTAGTAGTAATAATATTTTTAGATGGCCATAGTTGTAGCCATTTTTAATGTACAGTGGCATGTCAGACAGGAACCGTTTTCAGTTATACATAGTAAGAAGTCTTTTGTGAAGCTGCCATATCAAACACACCATTCATACAGGACCAGTAAAGACAATGATTTTGCATACTTACTGCCATGGCAGCTATAATGTACATCAGATAGGTAACATTTTCGGTTACCCCACTAGGCATTATAATTGGTCTATCAGGGAAAACGCTATGTTGATATGACCATCCATTCAGGATAAATAGAAATAATAAATTTATAATAAAAAAATCAATATGGATGACATGGCAGCCATATCAGAGATCAGTTCAGCACCATATTTGATTGGGCTGAAACAAGATATCGTAAGAAGTATTAAAATTAAAACACCTTATCAAATGGAGTAGCATAAAGAATCAAGAAGTTTGTTGGACAAACTAAAATGGATGTCAGATTGGTACCGTTTGTATTTAAAACCAACTTGATGTCATAGGATGTCTTTTATTGAAAATCCTATGTCAATATGGCTACCTGCTCAACAGCAGTATTAATAACAAGATTTCCAAAAGGGCTGCTTTGGTGGCCATATTGGATGTCTTAGGAGTACCATGATCATTTAGGAATAACTAGACTTTGTGATGAATGTGTTTATAAAGTTTCAT